TTTTTTTTTTTTTGCAAAAACGGTAAATTGCAAATATCTCAAAAACGGTACCATAGAATTAAAAATAACCTTGATTTTCGGAATCAGGGGGTGATTTTATATAAGAATTTCATAACGGCGTTTCTGGTAAAGAGAAAAAGTTGAAATTTGTGGTCCAGTGTAATTAGTCAGGCTGGTGGGTTTAAGTAATATTTAAGCTCACCACACAGCGAACGTCGTCTGTTAATATACCTGGGCTTTGACTTCATAACCTGCAGAAGGGATAAGGACTATATCGTAGTATCGAAAGCTGGATGTGGCAGAGCCTTAATGTTTTGTATTTTTTTTTTTTGTTCATTTGTATAAAAACCTGTTCTTTTCGAAAAATCTACTAACGATGAAAATCGATGGATAAATAAATAAGCTGTGAATGGTAAAATTAAAATTTTCAACAATATTTCGTGTGAAATAGGGGCAGGAATTAATGTTACTCATACGCCATATCGTACATAGCCGTACTCGTACAAGGCGTATGAGTAACATTTTCCATGTTAAAGTTTGAACTTTTTTCATTTGCAATGCAAACTTATATCGAAAATATCTTCAAAGCAGGACCTGATCGAGAAAAATGGTATACCGATCCATAATCTAAGACCCAAAATTAAGCCTACGTGCCTTGGCGTTTAGTCAGTGTCAGTTTAGCGTCCACAAAATGTAATTGGAGGGGCTTCCATGATTTGGTTAGAATGTCGGGGTAAGAAATAAGCTATACGATTCAATATTGTAACAAAAAAGGTATCAACTATTCACCTTAATATAATCTTAGTGATCCTTATTATTTTTCGTATGACCTTTGATTTTAATTGGGACGCTTCCATGTTGACAACCCTGTATAGTGATTGTTTATTAATCAGTCACTGAACTTAAGCACCATGGCAAGATACACGATTAGCAGCAAGTCGAAATAAGTTGCTTAGTTGGGACAAATTTTGCCTCAGTGTTGTCCTATAACGTTGGTGGTGCTTCAAAATCGACCCGCTGTTCAAAACTGTATTGTCGTCAATTTCGATATTTCAGATTCAAAAAACAATTAATGCAACCAGGTAGAAAAAGCATTCCCAAAAAGTTGTTGTTAGGCGCGGATTTGGTTCATATATTTCCAAAACGACCTTGGGAAAAACATCGCCGTCAACGGCAAGCGCCACAGAACGAGCATATGCTATGTGGTTCCAGCAGAACGGTGCTAGGTGCAACACAATAGACGCGCCGATGACAATAAAGTCAACTTAACCCAGGCCATTGAAAATTGGATCCGTATCCCAGTAATGGAAAACATACATTGACCTCTAATATACGGAATATATAATAACTCACATATAGCTTATTTTATTCCATTTCAACATCAATGCGACCTTATTGAAAGTCTATGTAGAATAATACAATAATAACAGCTAATAAATCTCTTTGGTAATAATTTTTTATTTCCTTCAGATCCGAACATTCTGCTAGATTAAGTGTGAGGCCAACACTCGCAAAGAGTTTCGAAGGACTGAACAAACGCGTTATGTACGACTCTATGTTTTACTACCTCTCGAATATGCCACGCTGGCATGTAGTGGCATTTGCGTTCGGTGCTTACGTTGTCTACTACTTTATAGAGGTAGTTAAGGTAAGTGTTCCAGTACTTATAAAACGCTTAAATCGTGTACTTACAAATGAAATCTGGACTCTCTTTACAGCGTCCGATACTTGCCTGCACCGATGGTGCATTCAAAGAGTTTCTTCAGCAAAACATTCCAACACTAGAAATGAAATTTTGGCCCACATTCTGGTGTGTGGAGAGTAGAGCACAAACGATTTTTGCGAGCTTACTACGATCGCAAATTATACCCAACATAAATTATAGAAGGTAGTGCACTACGACATAGCTTTGAAATATCATATACCCATATGTAATTAACGATAATATAAAAAAAATTAGAGAAATTTTCCCACTCAAAGATGGTGGTGAAGTCGCTTTGGATTGGTTGGATAGAGGTTGTCATGCTAATGCGCCCTGCATTATTATCCTACCGGGTCTGACAGGGGAATCCCAAGCAGAATACATCAAATGCCTTGTCATGGCAGCCAATGATGCAGGCATGCGTGTAGTCGTATTCAACAACCGTGGCTTAGGTGGCATTGAACTCAAAACCCCGCGTCTTTATTGCGCATCTAATTGTGAAGACCTCTCGGAAATTGTACATCATGTGCGCAAAATTATTCCCGCGCATTGTAAGTTAGGCGCTACTGGCATTTCAATGGGGGGCTTGATTTTAGGTAATCCTTATTCTTATTTACATAGTTCATTACAGCCTTTGTATATAGACTGCATATTTTTCTAGGCAATTACCTGGTACGTAAAAGTGAGGAGGCGCACTCTTGTTTAACGGCTGCTAAAATCATTTCGGCTCCTTGGGATGTTCATAAAGGTATGTATTTGAAGTTTTTTTTTTTTTGTTAATGTGGTAAATTGATTAGATGCCTTAAAACTTTTGTTTCAGGAACTATTAGTATAGAGAAACCTATATTAAATAGTTTATTGGGTCGTCACTTGACCTATAGCCTTTGTCGCACTCTCGACAATTGTAAGATTTACAAGGATCAGGATATTGATTTGGATCGTATAATGTCGGTAAGTGGGGAAGGAAAAGGTGTGTAAACTGTTGGGTGATCTGTATTTCGTGTATTTGAGTTATACTAATTTTTAAGTAGGCATTACAGCTCCACTACAAATACCACTTCCCATGCAAAAACACATACACATTTAAAACAAGTAAAAAAGTCTAAGTTCGGGCGGAGCCGAACATTAAATACCCGACGCAAGTACGCAATGTAGTTTTTACCATGATAAAAATATAGTAAGGTAGAACCGCTGAGAGTCACTTTTAAAATTCTTGACGTTTCCAAACAATTTAATTTTTAAATTTACTCACAAACTCACACACCCATTTTCATTTTCCATCTCAAGCAACAACAATTTCGAATAATTTCATTTTTTTATTTTCACATTTATATGATTTTAAAATGTTGGCAAACTTCAAAAAAAAATCATGGCCGACAAATTGAGAGAACGGTTATACCTTGCTATGTTTTTATCATGGTTTTTACTACGTTTTTTTTTCGTTTTTGGAAATCAGACTGATATTTCAGAGCAAACTTGTAGCACAGTTTTTTGAGGATACCGTTAAGGTTCTCACAAACAATGAGTCTAGTTTCCTTAGGAATAGGAACTCAGTCTCGTCCTCACGCTCATCGTAGAGTAAATACCCACACTCAGTACCACTTAATCGGGAATAATAAGAACGCCATTTTGGTGCACTCCTCGTGAACAATGATATTTTACCTATAAAACATTTCTGCAGTTTAATTAAACCATTCTGAACCGCTTATGAATTTGTGCATATCGCTTATTGTTGGACTAGAAGAGAAGTCCGCTAAATACTTCATTATCACCCCTATGCTGTAAGCCGTCGTAGATTCGATTTTGCTAGGAGTCGTAAAATTGGTATCCTGAAATCCATGTTTTCGTATCGTAATTCCGAAATTTGGAGACCATCTTCGAAATTCGTAATGTTGGTATGCCTGAATCAGACGTAACTGTCATTTTTATGTATTTGTTGGAAATTTTGTACGAAGAGCAACTAGTGTCGGAGCGAAAGAAATTGTTTTAAAATATCAACAAAATAAAGTGTGTAAACGCAAAAGTATGTAAGTTAAAGTGTAAATAGAAAAAAATTGGATTATTATTAAATAGTTATTTGCAACATATCAGGTCGAAGATCATAACAAATCGTTCGCAGTGCGAAAAAATGATGGAAAGTATGAGTGAAAGGTCGGACATTGCTCGAGGCTTTGCACAATGTTTGAAGCTTTTGTCAATGATTTTGAGCATACCAATTTTCGATTTTTCGGAACAGAACTACGAACTCGTAACTACGAAGATTCGGATTACATCATGCGGGTATATGTGTTTCACACGAAAGTTGTGTGCCTTAAGAAAGACAGACCTGGGCACTCGAAGTGTTTCCTCGCTGCCATGGAAGTCCTATTCTATAAACACGCTTTCCTAGCGGCCAATGGTCGGTGATAGTCGCTACAATCCAAAATACTTCTACCCTTGACCAGTTCTGTTATCCTTTTCCTGCTTCTTTGCTCTTATGGCCAGGAACACAGACAAGAGAGATACATATATTGACAGCGGCCCGGACCGTAGCACCATCTTGCATTCTTTGTCTAGCTTAGCCTTCATTTCATTAGATGATACCGCCATAATTGCTGTCTGGCTAGCCATATTTTTTAGCATCTTATAAGCTTCACATATGTATGCCCAGAACTTTAGCCTGAAATATCCTGGCATGGTTTGCCAGCCGCAGGGACCGATTGAACAGCGATCTTCTCAGAATAGACCCATGTGCCTACATCGCAGTCCATCTTGAACACATCACTTTAGATACAGATGTCTTCCTTATCAGCAGCTTGGCCTCTTTTCCATTCCTTTCTAAATGGAAGCCGCACAAGTATATTCAAAGTCCAGGTTTGATACCATGTAGTTCGTGGTTTTATTTTCTATCGTACTAAGGCTTTAAGATTTAGCTATGTCCAAGTTCTCGTTTTCCACAGCACCGAGTCTCTGAGTCTTTCCTTTAGGCCCAGATCAATGGGAACCAAATTGAGGACAGCATTCAGTGCTCCTGAGGGGGCGATATTTCGGTGCTCCAATTATCGTCAGCATATTCCACGACTTAAACTACTCCTCTATTGCGTTCCACCAGTATGCCACGACAGTGGGTAAGTACACCCCTTGTAGAGTGCCTTTGTTCACATATCTAGTTACTAGACCATCTCCGCTGTTCACCTGAAATTTTTTTTTTTTTTTTTTTGATACTGATATCGTATTACTTTTTGGAATTTTGTTGCATATTTTCGGTATTTTTCTAGATTTTTGCTGTTTTATTTTTGCGATATTTCAGTATTTTTTTGAACACTTCGGGTATGAAGATCGTGCGAGTATATACTGCACGATTTTGCGAATCCAAATAGACTTTCTGCTGTACCAATTAAGTAGTTTGCGATTTATATAGTGCGTTGCAATAGCGTTCAAGAAATTATATTCAGTTTGGCTATTTTAGAAACCATGGATTGCGTTCGATTAAACACAATCACTATGTAGGGTTCTCGGCGTTGCAAGCTTAACGAAAATATTTTAAAATACCTTTCTGGTAAAGCTTGCGCATGCTGTGTTTAGAACAGCTTTGAATCAATCTATCGCCACTAGACACGACAAAGAAGAAAGACGCGTAAACTTATTTTCGTGGTCGACTATGGTCGAGTCTTTTGGGAAATGTTGCTGAAGTGACAGTCCTTGGCCAAGTATGAATCCATGTTTACGCGTCTTTCTTCGCCAAAGTTTTTTTACGCGTCTTTTATCGTAAATTTTTTCACGCCTCCTCTTCCATGTTAAATTACTAACGCACCTTTACTCGTGTCTAGTGACGGTATAGGAAATACCATAAGCACTGTTTAATGACGCATTCTACTACATAGTTGCCTTCAATTAAGTTCTTTTCTAGGTCTTCAGCCCAGCCTCCCCTTTCACTCTTCCCACAAATGACTCAGAACAATCCGCTAGCTGAGCTGTTCCCAAAAGGTTAGGATTTTTCTTCAGTATAGTCAGCACTTTATTGCCCTTATTACGAAACTTTTTTATGACTTAAGGCGAAATTAGTCAACGACGTAGCGTAAACGTACGTTGACGCTGACACGATCTACCTTAGGGGGTTTGCGTGTTAATGAAAACTTACCACCGCATGACGGTGACGTTACCGTTGCTTTTCGCTCTCTTTACCAACAGTAAATTTGATATGTGACTAATTTCGCCTTTAACCTTTCAATCCATAGGGTGGGATTACACCTTTTTGCATTCCAGTTTAGTGCTCATATTTATTAAACATACATAATTACATACATATTCGCTACTGAAATGTAAAAAGGTGCCAAGTCAATTTTTTCAAAATTTAGTTTTTGGTGCAGAATGGCCGGTTATACGAAACTACATCAATTTTTCGTCTTTCCTGAATAATTTCAAAAAAATGGTCATCGTTAGGTGACGATGTACTCACTTACATACACATAATTTATTTATTTTTCAGTCTAAAACAATAAAGGAATTTGACGCACACTTCACCTCTAAACAGTTTGGCTATGCACATGTTGACGATTATTATAGCGACGCAACGTTACACAACAAACTACATTACATATCGGTGCCTTTGTTGTGTCTCAGTGCCGCCGATGATCCATTCCAACCATTAGACGGTGAGATTAAACAAAAAAAAATCACGATTTTTTTATATTTTTTTTTCAGGTTTTTGATGGAAGCTGTGCTTAAGTTAGTTGCAGCTTTTTTGGCAGATATTCCATTGAACTCACTCACTGGTAAACTCAGAAAAAGTCAGCTAAATATATTTCTCTCAACTCATAGCCATAGTAACTAAGTATAACCAAATCATGTGTTGAGAGAAACATGGTATTTAGTTGACATTACTAAACGCTTTTCTCAGTGTAGTCAAACTCCAAGAGGATTATTTATGCTCCACAGTTTTTTCAGAAAGGGTTAAAGCTTTGACTTTTTAATTAAAAGTTAAATAATTTTACATAAAATATTATGCATTTTCTCTGGCACAGTAATCGAAAGTTAGAATTTAAAATTTTAGTCATTCATAACGGTTTAAGTACGTTTTTACCCAATCACTACATATACCATAATAGTTTTAAGACACTTTGCAGCAGTGATGGGCACTGGCCTGCCCGCGGGCAAGGCCCTTTTAAGAAAGAAAATGATACGCCAACCCTAAAAGATACCAGATTGTCTCGAATTTGGCCACCAAGCCACCGTGCGATATTTGAACAATCTAGTTGGACAAAAGTACTAAAAAAATATGCTCTGAATTCTATTATTTTTACAAATGTGATACAAAAGTAACCCACTTTTATGAAAATGAACACAAAACAAAATAAAAGATAACAGTTGATATATTTGCGATAAAATATTTCAAATATTTTCATTAGAAGAAAAAAAATTAATAACAATTCTTAGTACAATTGAATTTACTTTTTGGGCATTTCAGTTGTTATCCACGTGATTTTTTGAGGCATCCAAGTGATTTGTGACCAAATATTAACAAACCACTTCATAATTTTCTCTGATAAGCGTTGTAGTTTGTTCTCAATAACTTCAGATAAGTGAGTATTTAATCACCTCATGAAATATTTTTGTTGTTGTGAAAACAAGATTAATTCTAAATAGATATACAGCGTTATTCAACATTGGAATTACATTTGGCTTAAAACTGGGTGTATCAGTTATATACTAAATGGAAGGAAACACCTTGCGCATGTTGGCGCACTTTAAAAATATTCGTGCTTAAATGGAGATGGCTCTACAAATATCAAATAAGACTTTATTTGATGTATGCGTTAAAACCCCAAGTTTGATTAGATTTAATGCATTATTAGCATATGTTTTAGAAATATAAGATGACCCTACACTACCAGTCTTTCAATCAAAGCAAATATTCGGACTTTTTGCTTCAGAGTTCAAAACAAACAAGTGGAACCAATCGGCAAGACAATGTGAGCGCTTTATGTCTAGGCTGTCAAGGGCACCTTAAATTTTCTATTGTGGTCACAGTGTATCCTTCAACCACAAATATTAGTAGTTGTTTAAGGACATTTTTATTAATTAGACATATGATTCTTATTTATGATAAACACTAAATGTTCTGTTAGAGTGATCTTCGTTTCAGACACTTGAAACAAGTATGTAATTTAAAATTTGTTTATGTAGGTATTCAATCCCATAACTTTACTGGCTCAGTTTTCATACTTGAAATTGTATTCGCTGCCAAATCTTGTAAAACCGGATCATCCAAAGGTGTATTATTAGCAATAAGCATAGAAAACGACTAAATCAGATCATCACCAATATAATTTTTTCCACCGAAATACCACTGTGCGCCGGCACTTGACAAATTGGCGGAAAATATGGTGAAATAATATCAAATATGGTCGATTTAATAATCAAATATAACGATTTTAGAGCCGTTTCACAAGTTCCGGTCGTTTCACAAGTTTTTTGTGTTGCATTGTTGTTTAAAAATTTTCTTATTTACATACTTTCTATTCTATTATGAAATAAAGCACGAACTCAAATATTGCAGCCGGAGCGCTTTGCTTGCATTTGAAACAATATAAATCTACAGCGGAAAGGATGTAATCGAGCAATCGAGCGGTTTATAGACTGTATCTATAAAAACTCGTATACACTTTACTTTTGCGACCGACTGTCGGTTAACCGGCGACCGGAACGTGTGAACCCGTACTTATATACTATGTTAAGTCATGCGCTTTAAATACGTAATTAAGAATATTGAACAATTAAGCTCTTAATTGATCTCAATTTATCATACAATAACTCAATTGTTAAATTGCGCAGTCAATATTTAAGAGCACATATGTGAAATGAACCAGATTCGCTAAATAAGTAAAATTAAAGTAACTAAAAACACGCCCGCTAGATAAAAAATTTGATAGAAAAGAGATTTGAGGCATGTCGCAACATAGTATTATAGGGAAATTTTCAAAAGAGCGACAAACAAAATACATACGAGATTGCAAAAAAGTGGAAGCTAGAAAAGTTGAACTTGTAAAATAACGATTAAAAAATGCAGTTGGGGCAAAAATACAAAAATTATTTATTTTTAGCCGAATATATATGTATAAAAAATTGTTACTATACTTGAACAAAATAATATCTAATACAGAAACTTTGAATTATATTAATACGATTTCCATTAATTTTTGTCTTTTCTTGGTAACTCAAATTAGCCATTCCTATCAAGGCCGCCGAAGAGAGTACTCATGTGGCAATCGTTGTGACCGCACGTGGAGGACATATTGGCTTCCTCGAAGGTTGGTGGCCATCACTAAAAGAACAATATATGGGCCGACTTTTCGCTGAATTCTTTACGAAAGCACTATTCGATGAAGATGGCCATTTCGAACGCACCAGCAGTGAGCTGTTTCAACGCTTTATAGCTAAAAATATATCACCACTAGAATCAGCAACACCAACCGCAGTTTCGAAAGCTAACACACCGTTATTAAGCACCGAAGAGTTGTTGGAAAACTTCAGAGAAATGTAGTTGGAACATAGGGTGTTCGTCAAAGAGTTTGATAGTGCCACTTCGGCAAGAACAAATTTGCGGGATCATAGTGTTTGTAGTCCTCGTGAAACTGGCAAGTGATACGAAACATAAGAGTGGCATTTTCACACTTCAACGATTATGTGCAATAAAATAAATGTGATCAACAAAAAGGAAAATCGATTCTAAAATTACATATCAGTGGACTTTTGGCTAAATAATTTACTTACTTCGCTTTAGTAGTTATTGTGTGTGGACCTCCTACTGGTCTTTAGAAGAAAAATTTCTATGTTAGATATGTAGATGTGAGTCTCGCTGTTAAAAAATATATTATTAGCCTGTAGAAAGTAAAAAATTGTTTTCTCAAAAGTCCTTAGATATATACATACATACCAAACAAGTAAATGTAAAGATAAATAAAAGATATTTATTTATTTTTGAGAATAGAAAAAATTCCCAGTGGTTATGCAATAATAAATTGAAAATAACTGTTAAACCGTTAGCCCCTGTTAAAAATTAGTAATAATAGGCAATTTAACTTGTTTTAACTCTAAAAAAAAAATTCAAATTACTCAATAATTTATATTTTACCTAAAAGGCAGAATGTGCATTTCTATGCAGTTGAGTATAATAGGACGTTTATGCTGAAAGATAAATATTCATTTAGCTAAAAAACAATGCAACTAAATGATATCCCAAAAGCAACTGAGCATTCTTCGAAAAATACCAGGATTCGAATATGGTTTCATGAAAAAAGTGGAATCATTGCTGAAAATATAAAATAATGAAAATGGCAATATAAAATAAGGACGCGACATTTTAACAAGTTCTCCTATTTCTCTTTTGTTTGCTTTTTTTTTTAAATAATTCTAGGTATGCCCATTCGATAATAGTATACATAATAAAGTGCAAGTTTATTGACGGTGTTACGCTTTTTTTTACAAAAGTATCTTCGACAATAGTTTTGTATGTAGAAAATGAGCAACACCATAAAAAAAAATTTCCAGAAATCAATGGTAAGTCCTGGTACTTAAACCTTGCATTTGCTACACTAAAATTTAATACGCTACAAAACTCTATACTCAAGAGGTTTCTAAGAGATCTAATTAAGAAGTTGGAAATTTTGTTTAAACTCTGTCCAATTTTTGTACAAAGTTTGAAACTCGGACTTACATGGTCCGTATTTATATGTATTTTCGCCACTGTACATACAGAGTTGCTTACAGACGATTAACTTTCGGTAATCGTTGATCAATATTTCATTTATTATTTTATACTAGGTTTACATATAACTAGATTATCCGCATTTTCGAGTAATTAGAAAAAGAGATTGACCATACAAAATTCGTCCCTCGTTAATCTGTAATTACAAAATAATCTTAGATTAAATCAATAACTTTTCGGTGTCCAGCCTAGTTTTATCCATTATTTTTACGAAAAAGACGAGAAATGTCAAATGTAAAAGTAAACGAAAATGGACGCAAGCAAGGAAAAGAGTTTTTTTAAGGTATTTGTAAACAAATATTAAGTTAAAATATATTTTAATTGCTTAATATAGCATAAAAAAGAGATCACGATAGCACAGAGAAGAAACTTAACTTTTCCTTGAGATGTGGGAATAACAAGCACAATAAATTTGACAGCTAATAATCTGAGATCCGAGGCTTTGCCTTGCTTCTTCACTGGAAGTGGGTTGGTTTGGAACCACCGTCGGAAAATTCAGCCTCCACGACGAAACGTCCGACAACGGATTGAGGCTGATCGACTTCGCCGGGGCCCGAAACATGGTAGTATGCAGTACTAGGTTCAAGCATAAAAAGATCCATCAAGCTACCTGGCTGTCTCCGGATCGAAAAACGAGAAACCAAATCGATCATGTTGTGATAGACGGAAGGCACGCTTCCAGTGTTTTA